TTTGGGCTTATAGGACAAACTTGACCATTCATAGGTCGTTGGTTTGAGAACCGAATCATTAAGATCCAGAGCATCAGCAATAGCCCTCATTTGCACATTTAAAACTATAAACAGATCCACTCTTCATGTTTCTAACTTCATATAGAATAATACATGCACAAACATAGGATCTGCACATTCAGCAGAATGCAACATTAAAATTGCTATGTTGCATGAGCTATTTTGTCTAAAGCTTCTTCGAGTTATATATATTCATATTCACAAAGAAAACTCATAGGCTGCGTCTAGACTGGCAAGTTTTTCTGCAAAAGCAAATGCTTGCCAGCTGTCTACACTGGCCGCTTGATTTTGTGCAAAAGCACTGATGTTCTACTGTCCGAAATCAGTGCTTCTTGCACAAATGCTTTGACATTCCTGTTCGGGCTAAAGCCCTTTTCTGGAAATGTTTTTGCGCAAGAGGGCCAGTGTAGACAGCTAAAAACTGTTTTGCGCAAAAAAGCCCCGATGGCAAAAGTGGCGATTGGGGCTTTCTTGCCCAAAACCGTGTCTAGATTGGCACGGATGCTTTTCCACAAAAAGTGCTTTTGCGCAAAAGCGTCCGTACCAATCTAGATGCTCTTTTCCGCAAATGCTTTTAATGGAAAAACACTGAGAAGCAATAAACATGGGAACCCATAAAGCTGTATTTACAGAATCACTTTTTGTGAATAGCACTGCATGGAAAGCTGCCATCTAGCCATTTTGCTGGGGAAAAGCAAGACAGGGAAACTGTCTTTAGAATAAAACATTTCCAAGTTGTTATAAGGTAAATGCTGACATAAATACAGTATAGTTAATTCAAGAGATACTGAAGCAGTTGTGAAACGACATACTTTGCAGTAATGTTTTTGTTTGTTTATTTGTGTTCACATAATTGAGCTTATCACATAACATCTTTCAACTCCTTGATTCCAACCAACCTGATTCCTTCAAGTTCATCTTGTAGGCTTTGTCTACACTAAGGATCGCGCTCAATAATTTTTCCCCATTGCTGACATCACTGCAGATGAAATGATGCTAGCGAGACTGGTGTTATTGAGGGAGAACATGATTCCGTTTTGTGTTGGTGCAATAATGGAACCTTTTGGCTTAAAGCAGCTGTTTAGCTTGCATGCACCATTCAAGATAGGTGCTTCACATTCATAAGTGCCCTATGTCTGCCCAGAGCCATTCATTTTTCTTTGGAATAAGAGTTTAAATGACATAACCACCTGTTATACTCTCAGGATGAATCTCCTGCTATCTCCTGAAATCACCGCCTGCTCCTGAGTGAGATCCTGCAGATAAAGTCTCCTTTATAGCTGAGAGTGACTTCACGAACTGCTCCGGGATTAGGTCTCCGTGTTCTGGGAAGCATGCTTCAACATATTTTTTCCTGCAACCTCCGACCCGTGCTAGTTCTGGGCCTGAAGCCAAGCGACTGGTTCACCCCTGCATTACGTTTTAAACCACGATAACTCCACACTGATTTTTTTTGGTGGGAATCTGGCTCCTGCTCTGTCCAGTGCTCTGTGAAAGGCCAGCAGCAAGCCAGCAGAGTTCTCACAGTACAGACGCTGCATAGCGCTCTCATGGGCAGTCCCGTGCAGGCTTCCTTGAAAACCCTTGCCCCAGCATGGACAGGGAGTCCCCGTAGTCTACATACCGGATCCTTGGCAGTGGAGCTGCCTGGAGGCAGCCAGGAGGTGGACGTTTAAGACAGAGCAGCTCCTGATGAGTCTAATTTACACTGACACCACAGTGGCCCCCAGAAAACCCAGTTTAAAGGCACCTTTGCCTCCTGTCCCCCTGGCTGCAGCTCCTGGGAATCACAGCTCAGAGTCCTGGCCAAGGTGCCTCTATGTCATTCATGAAAGTATTGAGTGAGGATGGGTCGAAGCAAGCCTGCCGCAGAAGGCTAATGAAGTCAGGAGCCCATATGCAGAGTGAGGCTCCTACTGCAGGTAAGAGAGGGATAGTAATACTTTGCTCATCTAGGGGACTGTGAGCTCCTTGGGGCAGAGAATGTCTCTTATTCTACATCTGTACAGCACCTAGGACAATAGGACTGGAGCCTCGAGCAACTACGTCATGCACATGGAACCCTTCTGCCAGGTGGAGCCAGCAACAGCTAGGGGTTCCCTCCATCCATCCAACAGAATTGGCTCATACCCCCCCCCTCCCGCCAAGTAACCACCTCTGGGCACCCATGAGTGACAATACTTCCCCACTCACAAGCACAGAGTCTGAGCGTAGAAAATAAACTTTTAATAAAAGGGGGGAAAGAAATGTGGCATTAATTTGGGAAAACACCATGGAGTTCACAAGCAAAACCATGAGTAATAGCCCCATCCCAAGTAGGCTGGGCAATGCCCTTTTTCTCTCCGATTCATAGTCCAGTAATGTAAATGTCCTCTTCACATGCCTAACCCTTCTCTGCACCCAGCTCCCCGTTGCTGCCCTTGGTCAGGGCAGATCCGGAGTTCAGAGGTTCATCCGCAGACTTCACCACTCATCCTAAGGGGAGGAGGGTAAAGAGGCATCTTACTCGGCTGATCACTTGCCATCTGACTGCTCACTGCTCTCTGGCACCGCCCTGCTGGCCATGCATCTCATCCCTCCACCATCACCCTGCTGGCCATTAATCTCACCTTTCCACCACCGCTCTATTGGCCATGCACCTCACCTGTCCATCACCTCCCTGATGGCCATTCATCTCACCTCTCTACCACCGCCCTGCAGGCCATGCATCTCACTTCTCTGCCACCGCCCTGCTGGCCATGCATCTCACTTCTCTGTTAGCACCCTGCTGGCAATGCACCTCACCTCTCCGTCACCGCCCTGTTGGCCATGCACCTCACCTTTCTACCACCCCCTGCTGGTCATGCACCTCACCTCTCCGCCACCCCTCTGTTGGCCGTGCACCTCACCTCTCCGCCACCACCCTGTTGGCCATGCATCTCAGCTCTCCATCACCATCCTGCTGGCCATGCATCTTACCTCTACCACCGGCCTGCTGGCCATGCATCTCACCTCTCTACCACCGGCCTGCTGGCCATGCATCTCACCTCTCTACCACCGGCCTGCTGGCCATGCATCTCACCTCTCTACCACCGGCCTGCTGGCCATGCATCTCACCTCTCTACCACCGGCCTGCTGGCCATGCATCTCACCTCTCTACCACCGGCCTGCTGGCCATGCATCTCACCTCTCTACCACCGGCCTGCTGGCCATGCATCTCACCTCTCTACCACCGGCCTGCTGGCCATGCATCTCACCTCTCTACCACCGGCCTGCTGGCCATGCATCTCACCTCTCTACCACCGGCCTGCTGGCCATGCATCTCACCTCTCTACCACCGGCCTGCTGGCCATGCATCTCACCTCTCTACCACCGGCCTGCTGGCCATGCATCTCACCTCTCTACCACCGGCCTGCTGGCCATGCATCTCACCTCTCTACCACCGGCCTGCTGGCCATGCATCTCACCTCTCTACCACCGGCCTGCTGGCCATGCATCTCACCTCTCTACCACCGGCCTGCTGGCCATGCATCTCACCTCTCTACCACCGGCCTGCTGGCCATGCATCTCACCTCTCTACCACCGGCCTGCTGGCCATGCATCTCACCTCTCTACCACCGGCCTGCTGGCCATGCATCTCACCTCTCTACCACCGGCCTGCTGGCCATGCATCTCACCTCTCTACCACCGGCCTGCTGGCCATGCATCTCACCTCTCTACCACCGGCCTGCTGGCCATGCATCTCACCTCTCTACCACCGGCCTGCTGGCCATGCATCTCACCTCTCTACCACCGGCCTGCTGGCCATGCATCTCACCTCTCTACCACCGGCCTGCTGGCCATGCATCTCACCTCTCTACCACCGCCCTGCTGGCCATGCATCTCACCTCTCTGCCACCACCCTCCCAGCCACTCATCATGCTGCCACCACTGGTGGTTGCTTATTGCATCTCTCCAGCAGCCGCCTTGCTGGCTGGCCACTCGCTGCTCCCGGTAGATTTGGCTTCAGGTGAAAAACCAGTGATTTTAGCTGTTAGCATAAAGCACAGTCTAGCCACAAGACATTTCAGCCTACACTAGGGTAAATTTAAAATAATAAAAGAGACTCCTTACAGAGCCTATTTTGGCTCTTATCATTGAGATAGCAGGGAGAAACAGGTTGAACCAGTCTTATAGCTAATGCTTGGAGGTCACATAGCCTGCTGATTGAGTGTCCTCCCCTCTTATCTCTGGCGGTGGAGCCCTTGTCCATCCAAGGTCCTTTAAACTGACACTTTCAGAGAGGTAGCCGTGTTAGTCTGTAATAAAAAAACTTAAAAAACAATTAATAGTCCAGCAGCACCTTAGAGACTAACACAAAATGTAGATGGTATCATAAGCTTTCGTGGGCATAATCCACTTGTGGGTTGTGTCCACAAAAGATCAAGATACTATCTACATTTTGTGTTAGTGTCTAAGGTGCGGGCAGGACTATTTGTTGTTTTTAAATTTTAAATTGATATTGTGTCTCTCTCCTTTTGAAATGGGTTAAGCACAGTCTGTCTTTTCTGTATTCCCACAATAATTACAGACATTGCAATTAGTGGTAACATAATTAGTGACCCACCATCAGCCAAGTTGACTACAATAAGCAAAACATCCGCTGAATATTTGACAACAAACCTACGCAAAGCAGGAGCAAACTGGGTCTCTCTCCACTTCCAGCTCACTGTAAGTGACGCATTCCTTCAGATCCTGCTTACACATGTAATAAATAACTGTGGCATGCTGGTTAAAACTCCCCGCCAACACAACACAGCAAAGACAAGCTGAAATCTTTAGAACTCCCAGCACAGCTGAGCAGCTAGGCCGGCTGACCTCATCTGGGATCCACTGCCCCACACGCAAGCCTTTCTGTTTCAAATATATTTGAGGAGCAATTGCTGAGGAACGTACTGGAAAAGAAACCAAATCAACGCTGCTTAGAAATGCCCCTTGTGGGAGCCTTCAGAGTGGTTTATTTGGAAGAAACAAATATGAGTTAACAAAGTGAGAGTTCTGCAGTTATTAGCGAGTGTGGGAGGAAATCTTGCTCCGACCTCTTTGCGTCTTTTTAAGGTCTTTTGATGTTCCCTCTTTCGCTCCTTTATCATCCTTTGCAGCCAGCATCTGCAGAAGAAACTAAAAGAAAACATAGATATAAAGCACAGTTACTAGGGATGTATTTAAATGGCCAGAGGCTGAGCACAAGAAATAAAAGAACATGTCACAGAGGACCAAGATGTCAATGTGTTTAGTGCTTTAACACAGAACTTTTTTTTTAATGGCAGGAGTGTAGAGCGGTTGGAAGGTGCCTTATGGCAGTGTCTCCATAGCTACCACATGGGCAATGGCAAGGCAGGCTTTCCTGACAGTCATGTGCTGATCCAATTTTGGCCTAGGCAGAGCCTTTTTGATAGGTGAAGGGCAGCTCAGCTCCCGTTGCTCATCCACTCTTTGCTCTCTCAATTGAAATCCCCCCATGAGTGATTTCAGTGACATGGACAACGGTTCACTGGGAACAGGGCTGAGAGCCTCTAGCGCCAACGGGCTTTGGCCCAGGTCTGGCCTTACATCCTGCTTCTCTTTACAGGGAGTCAGAGCCTCAAGTCAGGAGAACTAATCAGATCTCTCTGCCCATGGCAGTGTCCTAGCAAAACACACACAGAGAGTTTCCCCAGAGGCCATTGCTTCTCTGGGGAGGGGTAGGAGCCGTGCGACGAGGAGACAGCAAGGCCTAGCCACTCAAATGCTGCCTTACTTACCAGGGAGCAAAGCCAGTGGCTGCTGGGCCCAGGCAGGCAAAGGACCAGGGATGCCATTTAGGAGCATGGGGGGGGGCTGTAGCTCCCCCACAAAGTTGACCCCTTGAATTTCATAGTTGAGGTCTGACCCCAGACCCAGCTCCTAACTGCCACAGAGCTTGTGTTGCTCCCAGCTTTGCCTTTGGGGCTGGGAGCTTGTTTATAAACACTAGGGCTATGTCTACTCTGGCATGATTTTCCGAAAATGCTTTTAGTGGAAAAGTTTTCCGTTAAAAGCATTTTTGGAAAAGCGCATCTAGATTGGCAGGATGCTTTTCCGCAAAAGCACTTTTTGCGGAAAAGCGTCCATGGCCAATCTAGACGTGGTTTTCCGCAAAAAAGCCCCGATTGCCATTTTCGCGATCGGGGCTTTTTTGCGGAAAACACTACTGTGCTGTCTACACTGGCCCTTTTGCACAAAAGTCTTTCAGAAAAAGACTTTTGCCCGAACGGGAGCAGCATAGTATTTCTGGAAAAGCACTGACAATCTTACATGAGATCGTCAGTGCTTTTCCGGAAATTCAAGCGGCCAGTGTAGACAGCTGGCAAGTTTTTCCAGAAAAGCGGCTGATTTTCCGGAAAAACTTGCTAGTCTAGACACAGCCTAGGAGTCAGGACGATTAAGATAACAAAAGGTTTGTCATTCAAGTAACTAAAGGATCTTTAGATGATCATAAAAACACTGCCAGGTACTCCACTTAAAAGATCGGGTGGAAAGGGTTGGAATAAATAGTGGTATGCTCAAGGAGTCTATTCTGGAATCAGTGCTCTTCAACTTACTCATAAATGATCTTGAAAAAGGGGTAAACAGTGAGCTGGCAAAATTTGCATGATACAAAATTACTCAAAATAGTTAAGTCCAAAGCTGACTGCAAAGAGTTACAAAGGGATCTCACAAAACTGGGTGACGGGACAACACAGTGACAGATGGAATTGAATGTTGATAAATGCAAAGTAATGCACCTGGAAAAATGTAATCCCAACTATACATACAAAAATGATGGAGTCTAAATTAGCTCTCAAGAAAGAGATCTTGGAATCGTGGTTAGTTCCCTGAAAACATCTACTTAACGTGCAGTGACAATCTAAAAAGCTAACTGAATATTGGAAAACATTAGGAAAGGAAAAGATGATCAGACAGAAAATATCATATTGCCTCTTTAAAAAGTCATAGTATGCCCACATCTTGAATACTGCATGCAGGTCTGGTCATCCCATCTAAAGAAGGATATATTGGATTTCGAAAAGGCAACAGAAATGATTAGGGGTAAGGAACATCTTCCATATGAGGAGAGATTTAAAAGACTAGGATATTCCACCTTGGAAAATAAATGACTAAAGAGTGGGGGATATGTTAGAGGTCTAGAAAATCATGAATAGTATGGAAAATAGAATAAGGAAATGTTATTTACTCCTTCACTAATAAAATACAAAAAGGTCACCCAATGAAATGTATAGGCAGCAGATTTAAAATAAACAAAATAAATTATTTCTTCATGGTCAACCTATGGAACTCTTTGCCAGGAGATAATGGAAAGGACCAAACTGTCAATTTAAAAGGATTCCAATAAGAATGAAGTAAGTTTCAGGAGGATAGGTCCAGCAATAGTAACTAGCCAGGATGGGCAGGGATGGTATCCCTACTCTCTGTTTGCCAGAAGTTTGGAATGGGTGATGGGATGGATCACTTGATGGATCATATTGGCCCAGACAGTCCAGTATTTTCTGTTGTTCTCGGAGGAAAGGCCGCTTAGGCTGTGTCTGGTGGGGGCAGGGGGAAGCGTGGGGTTTAAAGGCCCACCGTGTCTTTTTGTGTGTGTGTTTTGTTTTGTTTTTGCTCAACAACTTTGCTCGTCTTTTTTTGTGTGTGCAAGTTTTTTTTTTTGCTCAACAACTTTGGTTCCCCCTCCCCTTTTTTTTTGCTCAACCTCGTTTTTTTTTTGCTCAACCAATTTTTCCCTGCCATGTTCGGTATTTTTTGTGAAAGTGTCTGGCAATCCTACCTCATTCAACCAACCTTTTCTGTGTATTCCTTCTGAAGTACCTGGTACTGGTCACAGTTGAAATGTAGGATATGGTGCTAGATGGACTATTGGTTTGACACAACATGGGCATTCTGACGTTCTTATATAGAACCCAGATGTATCTGCCTCCTGCTACCCAGTAGGCCTCACTTTCCCCCAGAGCCCAGGAGTCCTGATAGTCTCTCTCTCTCTCTCTCTCTGCAGATTTAGTAGTGAAATAAGAATATACACTAAAATGTTAATACTAGTGTCCCAGTGTCCCTTAATGATTTACCACAAGATTTCAGAAGACGTTAGTATTAGAGTTGAGTAGATCTAATAGTTATTTAATTTTCTTCCTTTTATATAGGAATTAGATACAGTGCTCCTGTCAGCTAGTTGCTAAGTTATCTGCCAAAAAACTAGAGTTTTCAAGTGCCTTAGTAGCCTTTGGAAAGAGGTGGTGTGTGAGTGGAGGAAAGTGGACAGGGTCAGTCCCCCACACCTCTGATTTGCTTGTACTAAGCATGCTTAATAACACTGCTGAAGCCACTGTCCTCACTCTACCCACATCCCCTCCACACACACTATCATGGCATGCACAGGTCCCGCCCTCCCCCCCCCCCAAATCTGAAATAGTGTCCCTGTAAAGGACACCATGTTGTTTGTCCTATTTTGGTTGAATGAGGTAGGGTTGCCAGATACTTTCACAAAAAATACCAAACATGGCAGGAAAAAAATTGGTTGAGCAAAAAAAAAGGGGAGGGGGAACCAAAGTTGTTGAGCAAAAAAAAAAACTTGCACACACAAAAAAAGACGAGCTGGGCCTTTAAATCTCCACTCTCCCCCTGCTCCCACCAGATGCAGCCCAAGCAGCCTTCCATCCGAGAACAGCAGATAATACTGGACTGTCTGGGCCAATACCAGACACCTGGCAACCCTAGAATGAAGCCCAGCCCCAAAGAGAAAAGAGAGAGGTGAAAGACAGCACAAAGGTTAGGGGAAAAGGGAGCCACCACCAAGACACCCTCTGGTTTCTCAGCAATCTTGCAGTTTTCTCTGGTGTTTGTGGTTCCATTTCTCTCCTTGCTTTTCTCCTTTCCTGGCCTTGTTCTCTGTTGCTTAGTCAACATAACCTGGCTCTGCTCCTGCTGAGCCCACAGAGCAGTGTGAAAGGGCAACCATGTCTGATCTGCTGAGTCTAATGAGGGCCACCTTACTGCCCCAGCTGCAGCCCACCTTCTCCTGCCACCTCATGCTGTCTTCCCCACACCTAGAGACTCACATCACCCTCTTCCTTTCTCCCCCTGCATACTGCGGGCTGCCAGGACCACAAAGCCTCCTGAGGCATCGCTGCAGGCTTCACTCCCCCAGTGCACCAGAACAAGAAGTTTTTTGCTGACAGGGTGTAGAGAAGGACTCTGGGGCTGACTGAGATGAGGGGGCATGACTATGGGCAGGAAGACGCGGCTTTAATGCATGAGCTAGGTAATAGAACTTACTCTGGTGTGGGACGGGCTGAAAGGGAAACTCTGCCTCCGGATCAGAGGATGAAGGGGGAACAGGGAGACTGACCTAAGGGAGACGACAAGAAAGACTCATCTGCAAGCAAGGAGCCTGGGCTAAGGGAGGAGAAACCTGGAAAGAAGGAAGCTCACTCTAAGGGTACGTCTACACTGCACGGTTATTTCAGAATAAGCTATTCCGGAATAGAATGGCCCTGGTGAGGGGCTATTTCGAAATAGCAGCAGCGGGGCAGTGGAGAAATAGCTATTTCAGAATAGGTGTTATTCCTCATGGAATGAGGTTTACAGATTTCAGAATAAGCCGTCCATTATTTCGAAATTATTTCAAAATAACAGAATGGCTATGTAGACGCTCGCACTGTTATTTCGAAATAACACTAGTGTCACTAGTTATCTTGAAATAACGGTGCAGTGTAGACACACCCTTTAAGAGAGGGAAGGTGAGTAAAAAGGGGATGAATGAAAGGATGCTAAGGCCAAGAAGAGGAACACAATGCAGCCCAGGGAGACCCAAGGAACACTATGCTATATTTGGGGTGAGGGCAAAAACGTGCACGCCAAACCATCTGGACCCTGGATGGTGTGAATATCGCTTATTTACATAGGTAATAAGGAGGGGTTTATTGACAAATACAGGGGAGAGACAATCTCTGATCTGCAGCTCTCTTTCTATCTCCACCTGCAGTTTTTCTAGCTTTGCTTCTTCCTGTCTGGTCTGCCACCCACTTCTTCTTTTTGTCTCCATCTCACCATTCTTCTGTGAGTGATTTGGGGATATTCGGTGCCAGGCTGTCACACTGTTTGGCCAGGGGTCAGACTTAAGCTATCGTATATAAATTTGTACAACATGGTCAAAATGAGTGCCAGGCCCCAGATGACATCCATAAGCCCAGCATTTCTGGGAGTCTCAGACACCTCTATAGGGGATATGCCATCTTTGCCTGTTGACTGTCTCATGTCACCAGTTTCCACAGAGCAAAACACTTCGGCTGTGTCTAGACTGGCAAGTTTTTCTGCAAAATCATCTGCTTTTGCAGAAAAACTTGCCAGCTGTCTACACTGGCCGCTTGAATTTCTGCAAAAGCACTGACGATCTCATGTAAGATTGTCAGTGCTTTTGCGGAAATACTGTGCTGCTCCTTTTCAGGCAAAAGTCTTTTTCTGAAAGACTTTTGCACAAAAGGGCCAGTGTAGACAGCAGAGATTTCTTTTCTGCAAAAAAGCCCCAATCGCGAAAATGGCGATCGGGGCTTTTTTGCGGAAAAGCGCGTCTAGATGGGCCACGGACGCTTTTCCGCAAAAAGTGCTTTTGCGGAAAAGCGTCCTGCCAATCTAGACACGCTTTTCCAAAAATGCTTTCAACGGAAAACTTTTCCATTAAAAGCATTTCCGGAAAATCATGCCAGTGTAGACGTAGCCTTCTGGTGCTTCCTCACCCATCTATCATGACCTCCACTGGAAATCCAGCACTTCGAAACGATTCCACTTTCAGCCACAGCATGGAAGCTGTGGAGGACACTGCAGCCAAAGAGCTAAGTGGAAATGGCAGTGAGTGGTGACTTCAAAACAGGCCAAAAGACCTGAAATAAGTTACACCGCATGTGAACGCCCGGGCACGTCATGGGTGCAACATTAGGCACAATGAGCCAAAGGGCATGCTAAAGTCCGGCCTTCCTTGCTGCACTCTGAATGAACGGCCTAAGAGGAGGGCTCTTTGGTGTGCTGAGGGCGGCTATGACAAAATATCTTGCTGTGTGTTCCGGTGAGGCGTGTTTCAATGCAGTCGTTGCCAGCAGGGTGCTAGCCGGACCAGTGTGAGCTGTTCTGAACAAGAACTGTCCTACCCACATCCACTTGACAGTGCAGAGGCCAAATTCAGGCCCAGTAGGGCTGGTGTTCGGCTTCCACGAATTTCCTGCCATTATCAGGAGTGAATTTGGCCCCAGGGCTAAGAGCACAATTCAGTAGCATGGTACCCTGACACTGTGCTAGAAACTACAGTGCTTAAACCAAGGTGCCCTGAGCACAGCTCTGTTCTCCATGGACACAGGACATTCCGATCAGTGCTGCTGATCATGTCAACAAGCCTGTTACTCTCTCATTGACTTACCTCAGGCTTCCGGTAGCCCTTCTTTTCCAGGAATTCATTAAAAGCGTGCGTTCCATGGAGCTGCACTGCGTCTGTCTCCTAGGACAATTCCCAAACCAAATTAAGGGAACGCTCCAGAATAACTCTCACAGATGTATGCTTTTTTTCATGCCTTCATTCATACAACAAGCCGACAAAGCGAGAAAGGGACAAGGAAGGTTATTTCTGTGAAAGTCTCACACATACGGCAAGTTCCATTTCTAATTAATCTCATGAACTGTAGTTCGTTCAAGAGATAATTTGTGATTTGCTATTTTTATGGCAATCCCAGTGTTTCATAAGGACTGAATTGCGATGGGACAGTGTGTCATTTTCCAGTGAGTGTTGTAGCAAATGACTAATTACTAGGGATGGTTTTGTAAAGCTGTGGTAACCAGCTGGAATTCCTACCCAGCTTTTATCACAAAATACACACATGGGACAGGGCCCCAAAATATTCCCAGTCTGGGGTTTACATTTATTGTTAACCGAAATAATAACAAAAAGACAAAATTTTCTTCTGAGCTTGGTTGTTTCTCCGTATCCTCCGCCTCCCCTCTTCCTGCAAACTTTTTTGCCTCTGCCAGACATTCATGCCTTATCATACTACTGGGTTAGGAATAATAGAACTGAAATGATCCAAGAGAGTGAGTCCACAGAAAATCTTTCTTCTAGAACCTGCCACCTTCTTACATTTTAAAGCAAAAACAACGGGACTGATATTTCTTTACTGCAGTTCTGCAAACCAAAACTAGACCACCACCCTAAATTTAATGGGCATTGTACTCCTGTTTATTCTGTCTATTGAAGTGTATATTTTCTCTAACTCAGAAAGTAGCGCCCTGTGGTTGGGTGAGAGCGTGTGTCAGTTTTAACTTCTACAATCTCAGGCCTTTGAGAGGCTGGAGTTTGTCTTTCACTCCTGTACTTATTTGTGAGAACAAAAAGGGAAAAAACTAAACAAAGAAAAGGAAAAGGAAATGGTTGCAAAATTAATAAGTCTCTGTTTATCAATGGAATAATGAATATATACAATTATCTATATATCTATCTAGATATATCTAGATATCTAGATACACAGATAAGATATATTTTAGAGAGTTTGTGCATCTGTCTGTCTGTGAGTCCCTCTGTCCGACCATTTGTTCAAGAACTCCTCCTAAATGGTAAGAGCCAGGGTCACCAAATTTAGTTTGCAGCTTCCTCTTCTCGTAACTTAAAGCAAGGTCAGGGTTTGGTTATGCCAGAAAATGGGATGTGCCTGGAATTCGAGTCTTTTCCATAATATGGAAAGGGAAGGGTCTGAAGGGAGGGACAGTTATGCTCCACTATGACCACTGGGGACAGTTATACTGCAGAGTGACCACAGAGGAGCGGCTGCACCAGGAAGTGAGTGGCCAGATGGAGCTGGGGTGCTCCACTGCCCCCCAGCCACTGGACCTTGGACACAGTGACAGATGGAGGGGGGAGCCCCACTGGCCAACAGCCCCGGCTCCACCCGTGGCCCCCTGAGGAGCTGCTGAGCAGCCGAGCTCCAGCTCCACCCATGCTAGGAACTGCCCACCTTCTAGCTGTGGGGGAGACCAGGCAGCCCAGCATCACCTGCCGTGAGGAGTTGCTGGGGGAGAAAGCTAGCCCAGCCCTTGCCCTCCCCTATCCCATGAGGAGCTGCCAGTTGGAGGGGACGGGCATCCCTCCCTGCAATGAGCTACTGACTGGGGGGCCCAGCCAGCACTGTGCCCCCTCCAGGAGAAGTTGCCAGGGCAACACAGTTCTGGCCCCCTGGAAGGAGCCACCATTGGAGCCCTGACCCATGATTGGCACCGCCAACTGTCAGTCAACAAATAATCAGCCATCATAATGACAGTCAGGAGGGTGGGTAATCCAAATAATTCCCCTCCCATTGTGACTGGGATGGGTAGCATATGGTGTGCCCATGTCCCAGGCTACGTCTAGACTCCACCTCTCTGTCGACAGAGAGATGTAGATTAGGCACGTCGAAATTGCTAATGAAGCAGGGATTTAAATATCCTGTGCTTCATTAGCATAAACATGGCTGCCACTTTTTTTCATCACGGAGCTTTTTCGAAAAAAAACAAAACAAAACGGCAGTCTAGATGCAGATCTGTCGAAAATAAACCCTTTTCCGACTGATTCTGTTAACCTCATTTTTTGAGGAATACAGGGTCTGTCGAAAAAGGGTTTATTTTCGACAGATCCACGTCTAGACTGTCCTTTTTTTTTTCTTCGAAAAAGCTCCGTGTCGAAAAAAAAGCGGCGGCTTCATTAGCAATTTCGACATGGTTGATTTGCATCCCTCTGTCGACAGAGAGGTGGAGACTAGACGTAACCCCTGTGACAACATGTGCTCTGACCTAGGATGTGAATTTCCCCACAGAGATTCTAGAACTGCTTACAATACCTTTTCACTAAAGCGCTTCCTCAACTTCAGCAACCTTTCAGCTGCTACTTTTGGATCTTCTAAAGGCTCGTTTGCTTTTAGTTTTCTCCACGTTTTAGGGTCAAGGTACCAGGCTCCGTACCTGAACTTCTCCCATTTGGGCTGGTAGAGACCCTGCAAAATAAAACCTTCATCATTCAGAATGTCTTCTAATCATGTAGGGCTGACTTGCCTCTCACGTCTATGCAAACCACTGCCTCCTAATGGATGGGATGTCCGACTTGATCCATCAACGCGGCCAGGTGCTCAAGTACCAGAGTAGTGACTGCAAGATGGAATAAACTGTGTCTCTTTCTGGAGCCTAGAGCAAGTGTAAGTCCTGTTACTGCTATATGAGTCAGAGGTGTTTCACTAGCTATCCCTAGCAATAGCAATATATTGAAAAGTACCGACTCTTCTACTATTTATTATACTTCAGATAATGAAATCATTCTCTCCATGTTCTGCCACCTAGATCTCTGTGCTAATGAGTTGTTCTCTCTCATAGAAAAAGAAATAGACAGGAATTTGGGTTTAACTAGAAGCAGCCAGCTTTCCTTGGAAAGTATTCCTCAATAATAAAAAGCAAAACAGAAGGGGTAATCTGGGGGTGGGAGGAATGAGGTGGAGAGGAGGAAGAACATGTGGAGCTGTGGGAATTGAAATTATTTAGGAAGGAAGACAGTTATCATTTTCCATTCACTCTCCTGTACTCATCTATATCAGCAGAAGGGCCGCCCAAAGGCGCAGGCAAAAATAGAGGAACTCCAAACATTCCAACACCACCATTATCTTTATCTGCATCTCTTTATCTCAAACACTACAGCCCAAACATAGTCAGCCTCTTCAAAAACTTGCACTCAGGTCCTGACAGAGTCTTTGGGAAATAATACTGTCTGTGCCCCGAGACTGTCTGACCACTGATTAAAGCTGTGGTTCTCAGCTTTTTCCAGATCGGGACCTGCTGCTCATTTAATGACATAGCAAGGGCAGGACAGAGTCAAGCTTAGAGACACACGTTCACGTTGTAATAGGTTGAGAAAGCATCCTCCTGCAGAAATAACATATTTCCTTATCACAGTACTTTAACAAATCAGGCCATTTCCAAGGATTATGGATCTGAATCCAGATACCATTCCTCCTCGTGCAATATTACAGAATGACCAGCAGGTGGCATTTCAAGAGCATTATTTTGTATCAAAACTGCAGTGTGGAAAGAATATTTCTTTGGGGTTCTGTAAAATGGGCTTTTGAGGATCAATGCTCTCACTTCGCTTGGGCCCCAATTCTTGCCCCAGGAGAAAATTGCTAATGATGATCCCATGAAAAGGAAAGGAACAAACAAATGGAAACAGAACGAGCAATACTTGAGCCTTATAAGCAGCATAAACTCTGGCAATCGTCTCCCTGGGGCTAGATGATATTCTTTGTGTTCTGCCGTTAAAAGCTGGGAGGTGGCTGGGACGGTCTTTTCTCATGGTGTGTGTGTGTGTGAGTGAGAGAGAGAGAAAGAGAGAGAGAGAGGGAGAGAGAGAGTGTGTGTGTGTGTGAGAGAGAGTGTGTGTGTGTGTGTATGTGTGTATGAGAGAGAGAGAGAGTGTGTGTGTGTGAGAGAGAGAGAGAGAGAGAGAGAGAGAGAGAGAGAGAGAGAGAGAGAGAGAGAGAGAGAGAGAGAGAGAGAGAGAGAGAGAGAGAGAGAGAGAGAGAGAGAGAGAGAGAGAGAGAGAGAGAGAGAGAGAGAGAGAGAGAGAGAGAGAGAGAGAGAGAGAGAGAGAGAGAGAGAGAGAGAGAGAGAGAGAGAGAGAGAGAGAGAGAGAGAGAGAGAGAATGAATGAATGAATGAATGAGGAGGACGTAAATAAAGCACAAGACAAGGCCTTCCACATGGCTAGTGGGCGTCCTTTCAATGGCCGAAGACCTACTAGGTATGTGAAACACACAGTGAGATAAAAATAATTTACAGTGGGCACTGAAAATTCCCTGTGGAAGCCCAGTAGAAACAGCTCAAAATAAGAGAGATCAAAGCTAGAGGAGAACCTGATCTGCATGTCCTGCACTTTCTGCTGAATCAGACATTTCTCTTCCTGCTCGCAGTAGAAAGTACCATTTGGGGGGTCATTTCTTGGAAGTTGCTTTAGAGACCTACTGAGAGTGGTCCCAAGCCTGCCTTAGGACAAGGGCAGTGTTGCATGCAGTAGAATGGAAGGATCACTTCCGACTGTGCCAGCGTATAACAGAGAAGCAGAACAAAATACTGGCTAATACTAGAAGTCATAGATTGTTACACCAATTGCATTAATAATGGAATATAGAATTATGGATGTTGCTATTGACTTGATGTGGAAGGCAATATGAAACACCCAGACTAAGACCGTGTAGCGGTACAAAATAGAGGGCCAGCTCCTGAGTGGTGCTGAGCACCTTGAACTCCCATGAATGTTAATAGGAGCTGCAGGAGCAGCTTGTTTCATTTCCCCTGGCCTCCTTACCTTAGAAAGACTCCTTACAACTTTCGGGGAGAGTGAAAACTCCAGACACTGTTTCAGCTCTAGTGGCACATTGTTTATCTCCACAACTTCGACAGTCTTAGCCAGCGTGGGCTTGGTTACATAACCAGCATCAAACAGCCTCATGATGGTATCTTCTTCAATGTTATAACTTTCTCCTCCCTGCAACAATAAGCCAAAGATAGGAGGTAGCAGGAGGCCGTTTCTGGCCCTGTAAAATGTCCCCATATAATTATAAAATAAGTCAATTGGAATGGAAATATTGTCCTTCCATTTCAGAGTACAGTGTGTAGAACAGTATAAACAAGTCATTGTATATATGACATTTGAGTGTGTACTGACATCACTAGTACTTTTCATGGGGACAGTTGTAAAACTAGGCAAATAACTAGAACCCCCTAGAAGACCTCTGTGTGCCCCCAAGTATAGAGAACCAGTGTGTTAAGGGACTCAGGAGTTAGCCTCACCTATGTCTAGTTTATCTCAGAGCAGGCGGGTCATTTGATGAGGGAGTAGGTGACTAAGAACCTGCTGAGATGTCCCCAACTCTCACTGACTTTCCATATGATTCAGGTGCCCAACTCTTTTGCATGCTTGTGAAGATCACAGCCTCGATTCCTAAACAACCAGCAAACAGGCAGAAAGTGACTTCTCCCGTGCCCCACAATTCACATTCGATTAGAAGAGCAGGGGCTCACAAGAACTGAGGTCACGTCTTGCACCATGCGCATTGGGACACATCTTCTTGCTGATGCGAAGTCACCAGGCCCCCTCTTCGAAACTGTTCTCAGTTCCTCTTTGATTTCCCAGTACAGGAATTCAAGAAGTATGTCAGAGTTCCCTTTACCATGTGCTGCTCTGATCAGAAAAGGCATAAAGTTTCCCCCCTTTCCTACGCTACACACACTCAGATTAGCTATAAAGCAAAAGAGTGTAAGACTAATGAGTCAGTACATAACAGTGCAACACAGGGGTCAAAGATTCTGTAACTTCTGGTCTGGTTTTTATTTTTAAACAGGTCAGTGAAGACCACTTAATACAGTTCCTGAGACTGACAGGTCTAGCGCCTACCATGGTTTTCTCTTAAAGGGCGGGGACAGGGCACTGCAGGGAAGGAAAAGAAGATTTAGCATCTGAGCCCTCCTTGTCAGGGTGGAGGTCAGAGTTAAAATGGCCAATGCAGCCCACATTTCTCATGTAACATTTCCCAGTCCTGCTCCCTAATACGATCCTGTCCACATCAAGCCCAGTTTTAAAGCAACAGCACTTGGCCACAATGAACACAGAAAACATCAGATGACAGGAGAGCCTCTGTCACAAGAAACAATAGGTTAGTATGCCTGGAAAGTGACTGCATTGCTTTGTCACACTCTTACTCTGCTTCATACAGGGGGTGGAGTAAAGAGCCACTGGAGATAACGCTGCTGGGAAACGCAGCTGCACCGCTACATGGATGATGGACATCTGCCCTTCTGGAATATCTATCCTCCAGCCTGGGCTAAATCCTGGAAAGTGCTGAGCTGAAAGCACTGGGGGTTGCAGGTGCTTGAGGTATTAGAGTTTCCTGTTCCTCGGAAACACCCACGGATATAGGCCTAGGAAAGGGCAAACTTGGCTATGACCCCCATGAGGGGGTTCCCAAAATCAGAGGGGACATTGGCAGGAATCCGAACTCCTGTAGCAGTAATGGGATGCCCTGTAAGACCATGTCTGACCTGGGCTCCACAGGACAGAGAGATGACTCTGCACCCAGCACTCAACAGATCCCAAGAGCCACAGGAGTCCAGGGCTGTGAGCAGCCAACTGACTCAAGATCTCAGGGGTTCCTGGAGCCCCCTCATGAGTCTATGCTCCCACGGCCTCCCCTGGACACAGATGCCCTCAGGAGGTTCCCCAGCAAAGAGGAGCTCTGTGTGACGACGCAGTTGGGGTTCCCCCATTCCTGCACCCCTATAGCAGCAAGAACAGACTCCGCCAGCCGGTAGAATCGAGGGGGTTTATTGCTTCTCCAGGATACAGCACAGCATAGACGTGATGTGTTTACAGGAACCTGGGCCAGAATACCTCAGACCCCTTGAGATGGGGTCCTTAGGCCCCTGGATTCCAGCCCTCTCCTTAGACTGGTTCCTCCATGATTCCAGCCCAAGACTGACTCTTCCCCCAACCCCCCAGTTCCTTTGTACAGCCTCTTCCCTTAACTTGTAGAACTGGTTTTAGCCACTGCCCTGGGGCGGTAAGGCACCCCCTGCTGGGCCGTGCTTACAGACAGCTGCCAGTGGGGGTCACCCACAGCCCACAGCCCAAACAGAGCATCCAGCAAGGAACTTACACTACACCACACTCTGTGTCAACAGTAATTCAAGGTGGGGCTTCATTACCTCTTCCTAGATTATCTGCAGGGCTGTGATCACAAAGCACCCCCAGCCCAAACCCCCAAATTTGCCTCGATGAGGCTCAGTTCATAACCCCATGGGGAGCCTTTTGAGGACCCTGTAAGAAGGGTGGGGACGGTGCTGAACAGACGCCATACCCCACTCCTCTGTATACAGAGCAGGAGGAATCTGTATACAGAGAGCCCTCCGTGCGCACAGTTCAGGGGCACGTTATGCTCCAGGCTTTGGGCCTGTTCCCGCTCCCTTTGAAGTCAATGACAAAACACCCATGATTTGAGTTTCAGAGGCATTGAGGGCTCACAGCTCCCACTGAAATCTGTGTTTGGACAGCACCAATGGGGCCTAGTCCATGAGTGGAACGCCTCCGCGCTACAATAATACAAGTAAATAATAACCACAGGGCCTGTGGGTGCTCAGTACCTCAGTGCTTTCTGTGAGGCAGGACTGTGCTCCCAGCAAAATGGCTTCCCGGGAGCCATTTCAAATGGACTCACATTAGAACAGCTCTTTGGCTGCTCAATTTTGGAGTCAGAGCTCCAGAGAGTGTTGAGCCACCGTTCCCTCCCCTGCCCTGCTGTTTTGAGTGAGCTCAGTGCAGTCAAGAATGGAGGGGGATAGTTTAGCATTTGTACCTATTAAAGTGACGCACATCAATCAAAAGAAACACCACTGGCATTGTCTGCAGCAGAAGAAATGCATTTCTAGTGAGCTATTTGAATGACTGAGAAAATACTGATACAAACAAGGCTAGCCACCAACTCTAATTAAAGCCTTCAATTCCCATGACGTACGTCAGACGCAAAGGAGACAGTTTGGTCTTTGACAGAAAATGGACTATTGAAACAAGGCAGACACTGGTCTGGAGACTACTTCCCACTGAGCTCCACAGATACAGATAGCCACAGTGAGAAGATGTTGTGAAATCCCTGGTTATTCAAGACCTCACTGTACCAAGTGGCACCCTAGGAGAAGATGTCTGAACACCATTGATGTCCACTGCAATATGGACACTAACTTCAGTGAAAGCATAACCAAGTACCCCAGGTCTGGAAGTACTCAGGGTGGGATTTTCAAAAGCACTCACTGTTGTCCTAACTCAGTTCCCATGACAGTCCATGGGAGCTTTACCATTGACTTCACTGAAGGCAGAGTTAGGCCAATAAAGAGAGCTATTTAAAGTCCTAAATGTGACATGTGTAATACATGTCAGATGCGTTCCGCAAACTCTGCCCTATCTTAAACCCATCCAAGCCCCGTGACTCTAGCGGTGCTCCAGTATCACCCAAATTAGAATTTGCCTCCTAAAGAAAGGGAATGTGCCGCTATTTATTTGCACGTTTTTAACCGGTGTTCACTAAAACCAGAGCCTATCAAAACCAGTGACAAAACTAAACCCGATCAGTGTCAATCAAAAAAACATGGCACTGATTCAAAAATGAAGCAGTAAAATCTAAGCGAGGGCTACTCAACATCTCAACATGTGGGCCGCGGTTGGTTGGTTGGTTGGTTGGTTGGTTGGTTGGTTGGTTGGTTGGTTTGCGGCCTACAGTGCAGTTTGGGTTAACGTGGGCTCAACATGCGGCCCACGGGAGGGAGCCAAAACACAAAAGTAGTCAATATCATGATCTTCTTTTGATATGCGTTTTAGTAGTTAAATTCCTGGACGGTCATTGCTCATTAAAAGTCCTTTTATATGGGTGGAAATTGGGTAAATATTGCATGTTATTAATATCAGCAGAACTGACTTAAATGGAGCATGCATGTTGTCCAGTCTTGCCTTAATCTTTGTATTCATGCCTGTCAGAGTGAAAGAAGCTATTTGCATATATATTTGCATGTATATGCAATTACACTTAAGTTTCAGCCCTTAGCATGTGCCATGGATATCATTGTAGTCCCTGGGCTTCCAAAGTTGAGTAGTCCTGATCTAAGCAATAATTCTTCCCCCTCCCCTGCATGCCTCTCTAAGGCAAATGCTTGAGCAAACAGATGGACTTGGCAGGATTATGGAATAAACTAATTTGTAATTTGCTTTGCCTGTGGGATACTTCAATTTGGAGGCCTCAGGTAAGGCTCCTAAAGCCATATGTAGGCTGGGATTTTCCAAAGTGACTAAGGGAGCCAGTGACTGCCAGCAGAAATTGGGCACTAAGCAGCCTATATCTTTCAAGAGGTGTTGAGCATCCTCATCTCCCATTGAAGTTCATGGAAGCTGTGCTCAGGACACTTTTACTGAGGGATCTACTTAGGATGTAGATGTCCAAGCTGAAAAACACCGGCCACGTCATTCTTGGACTGCTGGGATTAGGAGAGTTTTGCTTTTCACCTTACCCAAGAAGCAACCCAGTCACAAAACTCCTTGGTCGCTCGCTTTACGTTCTCATCAAGGGGAGGAACGTAGCACTGCATGGCTGCCTTTTCCCTTGCTGCGACCTCTTTCTTGGAAAAGTATAAGTACGGATTCTTGCTTTTTGTCTGCTTGAGGCTGCAGAGATGGAAGGGACAGAGTTATTCACAGTCTGTACATGGTTCTTATCAGCATACAGGCAGTGGGGTAGGAATAATCGTCTCTGTGCCTGCTGTGCCCAGCTTGAAATTCTGACTTCCTGCTGCAAGGAAGAAGATACTGCTGCTGTTTCTACCGAGTCCCTTTATTATCGAGCTGGCTGCCCTCCTCAGGCCGACAGGACAGAGAGATTTATATGCAGATCTTTATGATCTGCAGGGAGACCAGCAACGAGATCCTGAAACACAGCCCACTGGAGTCTATGAGAATCTTTCCATTGGTGTCAATGGCTTCAGATCAGTCCCTAAAGACTTATGTGCTGTCATCCTATTAAGCCAGCCAGCCCTCGGAAGCCTTTTTGGTATGTCTCAGAGGAACCAGGCAGAAGATTTAAAAGTTGACTGAGCTGGCTCTTCTGTTTAGCCAGAGCAGAGTTACTGGAAAGGCTGGCCTGTCCCAAAAGCTTCTAAAGCTGATCTGGAGTGGGGGATGGAAAACTGCTTCTTCAAGACATGCCCAACAAGGAAAATAACAGAACACCATTAGTCATCACCTACAACCCCCAGTTCAAACCCCTCCAGCGCATCATTAACAATCTACGACCTATTCTCGAAAACGATCCCTCATTCTCCCCGGCCTTGGGAGATAGGCCAGTCCTCACTTATAGACAAGCCCCTAACCTGAAACAAATTCTTTCCAACAGCCACACATCACGCCTCAGATACACTCACCCAGGAACCTAGCCCTGCAATAAACCCCATTGCCAACTCTGTCCACACATCTATACAAGCGACACCATCACAGGACCACGTCAGCCACAACATCAGAGACTCATACAACTGCACATCCTCTAATGGGATCAGTGCCAGCAAGGCCCCTCTGCCATGTATATTGGCCAAACTGGACAGTCTGTACGACAAAGGATAAATGGAGATATCAGAAATGGTAACACACATAAACCTGTAGGGCAACGTTTGAACCTGCCTGGGCACTCAGTCATGGATTTAAAAGTAGCCATCCTTCTACAAAGGAATTTCACAAGCCAACTACAGAGAGAGAGTGCGGAATTGATCTTCATATGTAAATTTGACAATTTCCCTGGACCTGAACAAAGACATTAAACAGATGGCCCGTTATAAAACCAGCTTTCCATACATTTAATACCTCATTGACATCAAAAGCTCAATATGGGACATTTCCAGCCCACTCAATTAGCCTCGTTGGCACTGCCCCTACAAGTGACAGGTATTTTTTTCTCTGTTTTTTCTGTTATAAATTCTGAGAGTCCCCCTGTTATTATCCACTCAAACTCATCTGATAAAGTGGGTTTTGCCCATGAAAGCTCATGATACTATATGGCTGTGTCTAGACTGGCCAGTTTTTCTGGAAAATCAGCCGCTTTTCCGGAAAAACTTGCCAGCTGTCTACACTGGCCGCTTGAATTTCCGCAAAAGCACTGACGAGCTCATGTAAGATTGTCAGTGTTCTTGCGGAAATACTGTGCTGCTCCCGTTCGGGCAAAAGTCCTTTTGCACAAAACTTTTGCACAAAAGGGACAGTGTAGACAACCCAGATTTGTTTTCCGTAAAAAAGCCCGAATCGCGAAAATGGTGATCGGGGCTTTTTTGTGGAAAAGCGCACCTAGATTGGCACAGACGCTTTTCCGCAAAAAGCTTCCGTGCCTATCTAGACGCTCTGTTCCGAAAATGCTTTTTACGGAAAACGTTTCCGTTAAAAGCATTTGCAGAAAATCATGCCAGTCTAGACGTAGCCTGTATGTATATTTATTAGTCTCTAAATTGCCATAGGACTGCTTGGTTTTTTTAAAGTTACAGACTAACGCGGCGACCCTTCTGAGACCCACCCACAGAAACATTCAACTCCTCTCTTTCAATACATTTCATTTCAGGTGAATGAGACTGAACTGCTCCCGGGCCCGGCAGCTGACGGTGGATTCAAGCAGCTGCAGGTGCTGTTTGCCCAGTACTCACAGTGTGGATGACGTGAGGCTTATTTCTTTACTTGTCCCGTCCTCCAGCTGATCCGGCACTTGCTGAGGAGTGTGTCTCTCCCAGTCACGATCCTTGTCTCCTGCTTCACTATGCAAGCACATCTCCGGGTCCAGGATGGCCACGACCTCTTCAAAAAGCTGAGTGCCAAACAAGAACACAGCACCTGTCCAAAAACACCTCGCTACAGCGCAGCTCCCCCCGAGACAGCCAAGGAGAACCCATTACAGACTCCTGTCTTAGCTTCCCCCCCTCCAGCATGTGATGAACCATTCCGTGACTTCATCTCACCCCAAACAGAGCCAAGGCCCCTTATCTAGCCTCGAATTCCAAGGGCTCTCCTGGCACAAAGAATACATTGGCCTTCATTGTCTTATTGCTTCTTAACCTTTGACCAGTATGATCCTCCTCAGCACTGTGCCACCAAGGATGAATATACTCACTCTGAGTTCACCAGGGCCCCCAATACAAGGCCTGCCATCTCCCTGCTTCTGGTTCCTCTCTCCCCAAAAGCCCATAATAACCTTTCCCTATTCCACCTCAGAGTGAAAAGCTTAATGCTTCCCTCCCAGCTTGTTTGCACCAAGTCCTTCAGTGTCAACTCCCCCCAGCCTTCCAAGCCATAAGCATGGGTGTGCACTGACTAGGCCCTGCTCTTTCCCAACAGAAGAGAGGTTGGGAGGGACCTCAGAGCAGAGGAAGGCAGGATTCTGGGAGAGAAGTAGATATTCTAGACTCAGGCCAGGATCCAGGTAAGGTCAGGACCCACACAAGGTAAAACGTTGGCCAAGATTCCAGAGCATCTTTCAATTTTAACGAAAGAGAAGGACAGGGGCAGGCCACAGGGTTACAAAAGAGTAATTTTTTGTCCAGCCCGCCCACATCTAAAGGACTCCCCCCGGCCTACGGGGAGGGTCCACAGAGCCCAGAAAACCAACTCATTACTTGGAACAAATAAAGAGAAAACAGGGACAGTGTGAGGGTCAAAGGGCTAAAATGAGGGAACCGGATGGGGACACTGAGCAGAGAACTCCGGACAGCACCCACTGCCCCCCAAAGATCTCAAGAAAGCCAGCGGATGCTGCCCAGTGGAACTCTGCCCAGATGCATGAGCGGATGCAGGAACGGAAATAGTCCCCACAGTCGTAGGCCCCTCCCTTGGCCAACCTCTGCTCCCTGGTTTTGTAAATTGTACAAAAGAGTAATAAAAGGGTGGTATATGACCCTTAGATTGAGTAAATCTCTGTTCCCAGAGTAACTGGCAGGGGCTAGTCCAGAACCAGCAGACACTTGCCAGAGTTAATCAGGCCTGTTGTGCACCTGGAGCTAATGAAGTGGGCTCACAGAGTCAAGTGAGCCTAGGCTGGTTAGAACACCGGGGGCCAATTAAAGAACCAGTTGAGACTGGTTATAAAAAGGCTTCTCTGCAGTTAGTTAGTGCATGAGGAGCTGAGAGGACAGAGGAAGTGCTGCAGGGACTGTAGGAAGAACAGTCATCAACAAATACCAGGAGGAAGTGCCTGAGAGAAGGAAGATGCTGGGGATGTAGCCCAGGGGTCTTGCTGCTGGTGTTGGAGACTCTTATAGGCAGCTGCTTTTACAGCTCCCTGGGCTGTAATGCAGAGTAGAGGGTGGGCGTGGGTTCCCCCCAGCACCCACTTCTCCATTTCCACTCAGGGAAATGACTGGCTGGGGAAAAGAAAGGGGTTTACCCAGCACGGTATCATTTGGGGGTCCACCAAGACTGGAGTTTGGTTTCCCGCCATACCTCATGCTGGCCAATGAACAGAGCAGCTCAACAAACAGCAAGCTGATGCCCTACATGTGGTGCTTAAATTGAGGGCTGCTGTGAGCCTCTGAGGCAAGCAATCCGCCCGAAAGCACAAGACGCACCAAGGTTGAGTAGGTGCTTTGTCAATCCATTCCTTGTCCCCGAACACCCACTTGGAGCCAGAGCGTGCCCAATGAGGCGAACCAACGGCTCACTGTGCAATGGACCAGCTATGGAACCAGGTGGTAGACTATTCAAGAAGTCCATTTCTGCATAGTGGCTCATGTGGATGGCTGAGGGGGAGCAGTTTTGCTGACTGAACCCGAAACAGTGTGACAAATCTCAAACTATCAGCAGGGTGTTTCAGAAGCCTGGAGGTGACTTCTGTCGCTTCAGAGCTCTCCCTGTCTTTATGGTCACCTTCCCGTGACAAGTCAGACTTCGTAGATGCTCTTTTTGTAGGAAAGAACATTGTTTTAGGTCACCTGATGAGAGAGGCTGTGTTCTGGATTACTTTGATATTTAAAACATGCTAAAAGGGTGCTCAGCCTTGGGGAAGAGCAGGAGACCCCATAGAGACTTTACCTCTGGAGAGATGCTTTCTTTCAGATGAGGGTAGAGCACGAGAGGGTGTTGGCTCAGGCAGTATTCTGTCTTTGCAATGTGATCCTGCCTGGCTTTCTGCAAGGGACTGAGCCTGAACTGTCTTGCAAATATTTTCCCTGCTTTCTGCTGGGCCCCACAGGAAGCATCAGGTGCATTGTTGGGCAGAACAATCGGTAAAGGCCCCTTGGGGCCACGGATGATGATGTTGTCAGATGGAGCAGGGACGCCGCTTCTGAAATCATCCAGGCCGTTTTTCAAAAATCTCCAGCGCTGGCTGTTGAGAGAGCCTGAGAACGTCGCTTTGCTGTGCCGTCCAAAGCACTTACAAGACAATTTCTCCTTGTACCTGAGACCAAACACTGCTGGTCAGCGCTTAACGTAAGTGGGAGGAGTTTTAACAAAGCACAGTCGTGTCGCTGCCCCCTGTCCAGCTCAAATCTGAACTCTCCATTCCAGTCCACTGCCAGGCTGAGACTCTACAAAACAACAGGGTGCAGGTGGGGAGGGGAATCTGCCAGCCAGAGCCATGTGCTTGTGTTCAAATAGTCTGTCCTAAAATGCAGACCCGCAATTGTCAATGATGGTGGCCTGATTTTCAGAGATGATGAACAGCCAGGGCTCCAGCTGAAGACCCAGAGAACTGCAGCTGTTCAATGGCTCTGAAAATCAAGCCCAAATACTCCATGATTAAATAATTTGCTATAAAAAAAATAAAGACTTTGAACCAAATTCCTACTGGCTGGGCACAGGTGTGATTCCATTGACATCTCTGGTGCCACACCAACTCACTCCAGTTGGGAATATGGTTCCTGACGTATCCCTAAAAAACAAGCACAAGTCTTATTGTTTTAGCATTGATCAAACAAATCGGACCAAAGAATGCAGTGATCTAATGTCTTCCCCATGTTTTTCTGTGGCCTTTGGGATACGCGTTAATGGGTGAAAGACCCAAGTAGCCACATTTCAAGGGACATTAATTTGGCATCCTTATGGGGATTCTCATCAGGAGACCAAACACTGGATAAACAAGGAGACTTGCACTGCAACTGCCTGGGTTATTATGGATGGTAGACGAACCCAAAGAGCATGCCGATCCAATAGGTCTCTCAGTCTGACATGTTACCTACCCCAAAAGTCACTCACTACAAGCACAGTGAACCAAACTCATGCCCTTCATACATGTTAGTAGCTGGCTAGATGCCCTCAACCTCTATCTCCTTAAGAGATCATAAAACATTTTAAAGCAAGGTAAAAACCACTTCCCCATTTTAAAACAGATTTAAGTATCAAATAAGCCCGTGCCAACAAAGGTCCAAGGATCACGCATGGATCATGCTTAGTTGAGGACAGTCCTACGTATTCCTAGCACGATCCCAGCCGGGGCCCCTCTATAACGATGTAAGAGTAGGCAGAGTCCTATGCTGAGAACACAGCATGCCACATGGCAAGGCCCTTGACCACGCCAGACGGAATGGGATGAGTGTTGCTAACAGCACGCGGCCCAAGGTTTGCCATGTCAGCGCCATTGTTTGCCACCCACCCAAATCAGGATGGCACATGGCTCGCAGGGCGAGCTTCTGGAAGGAGGGCTACCCGCTGCACAACCAATGTGAATTGGCCTGCGGGATGGGCACCACTAGCCAACGACACACACAGGCTCCCCACAACCCCGCTCACCATGGGGCTGAGCCCATCCCTGCAGGTAGGAGGCTGCTGCGAACCGTTGGCGGGACAAGGCGCTCATCTGACAAGGCAGAATATTCGGGCTGTCTCCGTTCCAAGCATCGGCTCCAACCACCTGGGCATCGGTCCACAAGCTGGTTGCTAGGAGACCATGGCCAGAGTGTGCGTACAAGAGCAGGAGAGGTTGTTGGGCAGAATAACTGTCACTTAGGCTTTGACTGACGCCTCTCCGAGTGTATCTGCCCCCCACACTCCCTCTCTTCCCCACCCCCATCATGCCTGTCTTGTTGGCTCCAGTGCACCACAACTGTTGGCCAGGTTTCCCCTCCACATTGTGGCTGCCAGGCCTGGCCTGCGCCTAAGAGCAGTGCGGCCACAAGGCCTACCACGTCCTGTGCCTTCATGGCATGCCTCCCACATGGGCTTTTCCAGGTTGGAGGGCTCCTCCAGTGGCACAGTAAATAAGGTACCAGAGGTCAAGGGCTCAAGCCTCCCCCATCTAACATGGGGTCACCCCCCCTCCTTGGTAATGAATGCACTTGGGACATAGGACAGATAAGAGGGGGTTCCTCCTGGCACAGCAACTCCAGGGTCTTCCTTCCCCTGGACAGTGTAGCAGTTGCTCCCCTTCTCACACTGCACCTACAGGACCAGCCTCCTCACACCCCCGTTGAACTCACTACACAGTGTCACTGCCGAATGCCACACCAGCCCTGACATAACTGCTCAAGTATCTCAGCCACATAATGAGGAAGAGTTGAGGCCACACTATGGTTGCTCCCTGCGAGGGTGGAAATCTGTAGGCAGAAGTGGGTCTGCCTGGTCTCACAGCTGTCTCATGGGCAGCAAGTAAAACCACAATTTGGGGAGGCTAGCACCTCCATCCCTTCCAACCCCTCACCTGTGGAACCCCAAACTCTCCACCCAATGCAGCTAGAGGAGCCAGTGTCCCCCCAAGTCAGCCTGAGCTCCGGGCTGTTGTCTGAAGCTGAGGCTGCTCCAGCTTGCCAGGAGCAGAGCCTGAGAAGGGAACAGTGGCAGAGAGGGAGGTGGGGAAGAGAAGGGACTCACCAGGCCTTGGGAAAGGGCAGGAAGAGGCAGAGCCACCAGGGCTCAGGCAGTTGGTGGCAGGGTCCACGGTAGCTTCACCAGGAGGCTTATTATAGCCACTCCCCATGACTGGTGCCCTCCCAAGAGTTGAAGCTACACCACAGAGAAATCAGGTTGAGAACAGGGCCTGATTAACAGAGTAGCGCTAGGCTACTGAGCAATTCCACTGCTTGCTTCCCTGCCCTTTTGTCTGTGGGGAGGGGGGGATGTGCCATTCAGCAACATGACGACGATTTAGGTTGGTGAAGCTTTTGCTGTGGGTCGGTTCCCATAGCACTGCTGCATACGCTGGGTAACTGAAGCAGCCGTCCCAAGTGAATGTTTCAAGGGCTGATGACTTGGTTGAGAGACACTGAGTGCTTCCCCCTACCAATCCACTTTCCAGTCTCCATGCAAAGAAAACACCATCCCCCCCCTCCAACTTCCTTACACAGACATGCACATACAATGCCTCTTTCCCCAGTCGCCATCCATCCTTGCTCAATCCATCTGCTTTCCTGCTGGACTGTAAGATCCCATGCTACCTAACCCATGGCCCAGGCTCGCTGGACTATGTATAGAGGCAGCTGGTGAGTCAGGGAAGCAGCAAGTGAAAACAGAAATAGCTGGCAGATGCGTGTGGTTTTGTTGGCTAATCTTGGCATCTCTCGGTCAGATGTGATGAGTCAGGGGAAAAATGCTGTGTGTTAAACTTTAAAGTTTCTAACGTGACCTGTGTCCCAGATCTTAGTGTGTGTCCGTGTCTTTAGCTTGGAGTTTGTGAGGACTATTAGGCTACGTCTAGACTGGCATGATTTTCCAGAAATGCTTTTAATGGAAAGGTTTTCCGTTAAAAGCATTTTCGGAACAGAGCGTCTAGATTGGCACGGACGCTTTTCCGCAAAAGCACTTTTTGCGGAAAAGCATCTGTGCCAATCTAGACGCACTTTTCCGCAAAAAAGCCCCAATCGCCACCTTCGCCATTGGGGCTTTTTTGTGGAAAACAAATCTGAGCTGTCTACACTGGCCCTTTTGCGCAAAAGCTTTTCGCAAAAGGGACTTTTGCCTGAACGGGAGCAGAATAGTATTTCCGCAAGAAGCACTGATTTCTTACAGTAGAAAGTCAGTGCTTTTGTGGAAATTCAAGCGGCCAGTGTAGACAGCTGGCAAGTTTTTCCGGAAAAGCGGCTGATTTTCCAGAAAAACTGGCCAGTCTAGACACAGCCTTATTGTTTAGCTAGAGAAACCCAAAGGAAGGGGAGGCAAACAGGAGCAAATTTTACAAGAGAGCATTGTTCAATGTTTCGCCTGCAGAAGTTAGGAAAGATTTCACCAAAAAGGTACATTAAAAATTCCATTTCCCCTTGAAAAGTTATTATGCCAAATGTAGTGGTTAAATTCAGTCATGAAGATATGAAAGAGCAATTTTAGCCCTGTTCTAAATGCAAGCCATAATTCAGCCTTAATTATGGAGTCACTACTGATGCCTCCAGAACTTGTAGCTAAAGCAAGAGAGGAACTGAATATGTAGAATACAGCTTAGTATCTATTTACATACTTAATGAAGGTTAACGTTAATTCTTTCAAGAATAGCTTGTTTATTTATTATTCTGTAAGGTCCCCTATTTTGCACTGTGTTTCCTATAAACCAGCAGCTAATTTGTACTGTATGTGAGAACAATAAATGAGAATAAAAATATGAAAGTTAAACTTGTTTCCTAGAAGCTGTATAACCTTTCAGTCTCAAAGTCATATAATTACATCATTCATTATTTACTTAGTTCCATAAGTGTATATGTCAGCTTTAAGGCAAAAAAGAAGATGACTTTCTACCTTGCAAAATCATTCATACTTGTGTAAAGAGGAGACAAAATACCAGGGCAAATAGTTGTGCAAAGATGATATAAATAAGAGGTAGTGTGAGCCGCAGGTGGGCCAGCAGGGGTTACATTTGTGCTCCTGTAGGCTAGCCTTGAGGACTGCTAGCGAAAACATCAGGTGTTCTTTATAAGATGGCCTTCACCAGCCAAAACTCCCCTTGTTTGCTAGCTAAGAACCTCGTATGGGATAAATAACATGACCTTGGCTCTCAGCCCCATGGGAACATTGAGAGTGGCATTGGGCCAACTCACACACACTTGGTAAACAGCTAAAGTATAAGATCTGCTGGGGGTCCCACCCCTTTGGGAGTTTCCCAGGAACCTAGACCTTGAAGGGTGCCCTGGGTCCCCCAGCTGGAGTCACGGTCACTGTGGCCTGGTGCAAGATGACCGAAATGGGATTCCCTACAGACCTGAAGGGGCGTAAGCATTTCCAAGAGCCTATTGCTCACTTATATGCATTGCTTTGCCTATGCTAATTATTTGGATTACTTTGCAGTAGCTGTGTAACCATTTAGCAGTATTAAGCCTGTAACAGTAGTGATGTAGTAAGATCTGTATTTTGCAGTAGTTGTGTAATTATTTGGATTACTTTGCAGTAGCTGTGTAACCATTTGGCAGTATTAAGCCTGTAATAGTAGTGATGTAGTAAAATTAAGAAAAGCAACTATCCCTAATCGACTGCCTTGAAGCAAATCCACAAACCTGGTGGGCCCTGGCTCTGTGACTCGACCTAAGTGTTTGCAGGATCAGGCCAATGCTGACTTTTTTTTTTCAACTTACGATCATTTTATATATTCAAGTTTTCTAAATATTTAGAGTACATTTCACACTCAGGAAAAGAATAACACTCCTGAAAACATCCCTACAATGTTGCATCAATATATCTGGATCTTTATCCGGAAATGGTATCTCTTGTACTGAGAGGATAGTTCTAAGCCCTGTATGTTTGTATTCTCTGTGGCCTATTCAGTCCTTGGCCACTGAGCTGAGATTTCCAGCAAAGGAGACAGTAAGGGTGGATTTGTTAAGTCATTGGGGGTATGTCTACACTGCATTCCTCTTTTGAGAGAGGAATGCAAATGCAGCCGAGCGAAATTGCAACTGAAGCGCGGGTTTGAATTTCCCACGCTTCATTTGCATAATTGCTTCCGGCCGCTTTTTCGAAATACTCTATTTCGAGATAAAAAACCCAGTGTAGATGCAGTTATTTCGAGAAAAAACCCTTCTTTCTAAATAACCCTTAAACCTCATTTTTTGAGGAGGAAGGGTTATTTCGAAGTAAGAGTTTTTTCTCGGAATAACCCCGCGGGGACTGCATTTGTTTTCTTGAAATACGCTATTTCGGAAAAGCGGCGGTCTGCGATTATGCAAATGAAGCACGGGAAATTAAAATCCGCGCTTCATTTGCAATTTCACTTCTCTGCATTTGCATTCCTCTCTCGAAGGAGGAATGCAATGTAGACATACGCTGGGAGACTGTCACTCAAAGGAAATAGAGATTCCCATTATACCCAGGGTTTACAGTTTGGTTCAATGGCTTACAGCACCTCCACTATACACATTGTTCCAGCACCGTAGCTGCATTGGGTGGCTGAACACCTTTTTGTGCTTAGGGAGTGAGATTCATGCCTAGATGGTCCCTTCTGCACTGGGATATTGGTTCATTTTGCCTGAGAGAGCCATTAGTTGCTCAGTGAAGATTCAATTCAGCAACGTGTTTTGCTAAGGAGGGATGAGATGATTATTATATTTATTACGGTAGCACCTTGGCACAAATCCAGACTGAGGCCCATTGGGCTAAGCACTATACAAACACAGAGTAACAGACAGTCCCTGCCCCACAGAGCTTACAATATAGACAAAACCGACAAGGGATGTGCCATGTAAGCAGAGACTACAAAAGGATGGTTTGCAAATATCATGGTAGTGCCAGGATATGTTAGAATGTGTAGGCTTGAAGGTCTTAGCTAAACAGAAAGGCAAAAGAAGAGGGAGAGGGTACTACAAGGAAGAGGTGAGAAAGCCAGGACTGGTAGGCAGAGGGGAAGTAGGAAGGGACGCAGAAGAAGCGTATGAAGATGTTTAAGATCAAGCATGTTTCTAAACGTTTTGCTGAATCAAAGCTTTTATGCCCACAGGCAATGTCATGCTGATCTTGAAAGGAAGATAAGTCTCAGCTTGTTGCATGACCTGATGATTACAACATATTATGACACATTGCACCCACTGCCTTCCCACATCAGGCTTCAAGTGTGAAAACTTTGTCACAGATAGCACTTTCAAAATGCAATCAATGGTAAGCTGCTTCATATTTATTTTTCATGTGAAATAACTTTCACTGAACCAAGATTTCATATAAAGAATCTAGAAAATCTGCACGGCCCAATTATACAGATATATTCTCTATGGATAGATCTTTGTGAATGAGAAAAGTACTGGCACAAACAAAATACCACAAAAAAAGGGCTTTTAAGGCTTGACTCACACAAGTACTTGTGCCTGGGTGCCAACTTTAAACATCTGAATAGTTCCAGTGGCATCAAGGAGTTTTATTTCTTTGCCAAAATAAATTTAATTTTCTCTTAAGAAGTGCTTCAGCTGAAATCTCAGGTTCCAATTTCCATTTCAAATGTGCTGTTACTTTCCTGAATTCCAGCTGCCTCGGTGTTCCTGCCTTTCTATTGGTTCTCCATAGTTTCTAGTGTTCAGATAAAACAGCATTTTGCTTGACTGTATTAGTACAAAAAGCTTCACTGCATGAGTATTGAATTTCACAGAAGTACGTTGCACAGAGTTACAAGATTCAGATTTTTTTTATTTTGTCTTTGATTTAAAGATTAGGGACCTGATTCTGTTCTCACTCAAAGGTTGTCTACACACTGAGGGCACGTCTACACTGCAGGGCAAAAGTCGAATTTAGATATGCAACTTCAGCTATGCCAATTGCGTAGCTGAAGTCAAAATAGCTTAATTTGGCTTTTGGCGCTGTCTACATAGCAGGAAGTCAAAAGAAGAACACTCTTCCTTCGATTTCCCTTACTCCTCATGAAATGAGGGTTACAGAAGTCAGAGTAAAAAGTCCACCATCTCAAAATTGTTTTGAAATAACGGCTTGCTGTGTAGACGTGCACTTTGTTATTTCGAAATAATGTCCGTTATTTCAAAATAACGCTGCAGCACAGACGTATCTTGAGTTAGTTTGCAGGAAGCCAGAATATGAATCCACAGTGCATTAGCTTCTGCACACTGACCATGAAGACTCTTCTCCCACTCATTAATGGCTCTCAGCTGTTTGAAACAGGAATGAATCAAAGCACAATGTAGATCTTTTAGTGAATAATGACAGGATTAACACAGCCAGCTAGCATGTGGCAATTGACAAACCTGTGTACGGTAAATTCTCATCCTGGCTTGCCACGCACCACTTAACCATGTAGACAAGCCCATACACCAGTGTAAATCAGGAGTAACTCTCCTTAAGACAATGGAATTACTCAGATGTGAAACCAGTTTAAGTGTGAGGAAAACCAGCCCTTTGAGAAACAAAGGTTTCTAGTATGGAAACAAACTTCTGCTCCATTGCTTCAAAGGCTATGTGTGTAATGCAATCTCTTAAGAAGCATCTGTTCTTGAAGAATTCCCAAGAAAGGGATAATAGAATATGATATGGGAGAGAATTTCTAAATCCGGTTATTGACTTCTCATGAGATTTTCCTTTCCTTGGTATACCTGACCTGGCCTGCAAAAAGAAATTCTAGTGATTTATTCTGTTGGCTGCACTTTGGAGCTGTTATAAAAAACAGAATTAAATTAGCTCTTCAAAACTGTAATCTAATAACTTTTCATTTTCAGGTATCTAAAAGGGTGTCATAAAGAGGAGGGAGAAAACTTGTTCATCTTGGCCTCTGAGGATAAAACAAGAAGCAATGGGCTTAAACTGCAGCAAGGGAGGTTTAGGTTGGACATTAGGAAAAAGTTCCTAACTGTCAGGATAGTCAAACACTGGAATAAATTGCCCAGGGAGGTTGTGGAATCCCCATCTCTGGAGATATTTAAGAGTAGGTTAGATACATGTCTATCAGGGATGGTCTAGACAGTATTTGGTCCTGCCATGAGGGCAGGGGACTGGACTCGATGACCTCTCGAGGTCCCTTCCAGTCCTAGTATTCTATGATTCATTAAATTAAATAAGGTTGCCTGCAAAATCTTACCTTTTTTTAACTTCAGGGGATAATTTAGTATCTTTTAAACACAGAAAAATGTGTACCACCGAAATATTCCCACCTCTGCTGCAATTAAGCAGAGAGTCATTTAAAAGAAAAACCCTCATGGCTGTGAAGAAAAACTTGAAAATGTGAACCCCCAAACACTGGAAATCCAAAAGGCAAATTAAGCAAAAACAAAACTTCTTATTTTAAAAATCTCTTGATTTTTAGGAGGCTTGACTTGTGATTTTTGCATCTTGTGATTAGAAAACTAGTGTGGCTAGCACCATTGCTCCCTGCTACCGGAAAGGTACCCTGCATTTCCAGCACTCACCTTCTCCTTGGAAATCACAGAGGCCATAATGGGAGGCTGGTAGCTCTGTGGCAAGGTAGCCTCTGCTTTCATAGAGCTCCTTATCTTCTGCAAGAAGTGCCACACAGGTGCTTACTGAGGGATTCCAGAGCAACACGGCTCAGCTGAGGGTCTGAAAAGGAGAACTCTCTCAATAGTGTTTACTTTTCATGAACAGTTCGACTTAGGGATGGTAAATGTTGGTTAATTGAATAGTTGAGTAACCTCATGAATTCTTATCAGTTAGTTGACTATTCTATATCTTATCAGTTAGTTGACTATTCTGTATCAGAGGCAGCAGTGCGGGGTGCCAGGAGGGAGCTGGTCCACGAGGGAAGCCAGTTTAAAAACCAGCTCCCCTTATAGACTGGCTGCCTGTCACCCTGTGTTGCTGCCTATGATAAAGAAGCAGCAGTGCGGGGTGGCAGCACCCTGTCTGGGCAATGGTTCTGAGCTCCCAGACCTGGCACGAGCTGGAACTGAGCGGGGCTGCCTTCTCACCTGGCTCCTAATACGTTTTAAATGCAGAGCCGCAGCGGGGCAGGTCCCCGACTCAGTGTGAGCCAGGACTGAGCCTGGCTGCCTGCCTGCCCAGCTTCTAATACAATTTAAATGCAGAGCTGCAGCGGGGCTAGGTCCCGGACCCGGCGTCAGCCAAGACTGAGCCAGGCTGTTGTCCAGCCTGCTAAAAAATTTACTGGTGGGGTAGAAGGGGAGGGAAATGCGTGTAGTCTATAGCATTAACCTATAAGCTTTTGCTTATCCCTAGTTCAATTATATTAGTGCAAGCTGGTTTTCTCTGAATTACAGCCGAATCTGCTGTACACAAAGGGTACGTCTAGACTACAAGCCTCTTTCAAAAGAGGCTTTTTCAAACAATACTTTTGAAAAAGCCTCTTTTGAAAGACAGCATCTAGACTACAAGAAGATTTTTTGAAAAAGCGGCTCACTTTTTCGAAAGAGAGTCTAGATGCTCTTTCGAAAAAGCCCTGTTTTCATTCAATAGTGCCTTTTTACGAAGGATGGCTTTCAAAAAAAGGCATTATTCCTCGTAGAATGACGTTTACCGCAACCGACAAAACTGCCGTGTTCTTTCGATTTACTTTCGAAAGAAAGTGGCTGTAGTCTAGATGCAGGTGAAGTTTTTTTTTAAAAAGGCTACTTTTTCCTGTAGTCTAGACCCACCCAAAATGGAATATGAAGGCTAATTCAATACTGAGACAATTTGTGTGTTGCTCCTGTGACAAAGGCCATTTTTTCTGCTCTTCCTTCTGGGGAATAGTTGTTCCACTTGTTCACTGTGAAACTTTGAAATGTCTGTACATATTGTAGAGATAATATATGTGCTACCAAAATTCCATGCACATAAGGAGCCCTACTAATGGGAGCATTTACTGCAAACAGTAACCATAAAATCCACACGTCTCTTCTTAGATTTTTTTTGTTTTGCTAGGTCAGGCAAATAATGGATTCAGACTTTTGTTATTCTTGAAATATGTGTGGGCAACTTATCGCCCTGCCTACCCTGTTTAGTTCTGGACACAAAGATTGTTGGTGTTGCCTTTCTGGTTTAACAATCAAGGATTTTCCCTTGGCTGTGGACTCAGGAAAGGGTACTGGATAAAGCGACTTTTAGCACTACAGACAGCTAGATCTTCTTATGCAATGTATCAAGTGCAATGCTGCAACAGTGGTTTATTCACCAGATCAGCACGTGAATTCAAAACTTCTGATGAACAGATCATTGCGATAACTGTATGATAGAAAGGTTTAGCTCAACTGGGTGCCCTCCCAAGCGTCTCAAATGTTAGCTCCAAAGCCACACTGACTACCTTGCCCGCTAGGACATCTCTGAAGCAAATAGCTTAAAACAATGCTCATCTGAATCAGAATCTCCATGGGCACACATACGCAGATGGCCTATAATGAACTAGACAACCAGGTCACGTCTGAGGATATAGCTACACTAAAAATGCAAGCTACAGTGGCATAGCAATAGTGCAGACACTGCTGACAGCATCAGGAGGGGTTCTTCTATTATAGCGAATTCACCCCAGGGGTTCTTCTAACAGTGCATCAGGAGGGGTTCTTCTATTATAGCGAATTCACCCCTCCAAGAGGCGATCGCGAGGTCGACAGAAGATTCATCTGTGGATCAAGAGGTGTCTAGACCAGAGCTTAGGTTGGTTTAATTACCTCACACAGGGCAGGAGATTTTTCACAGACCTTAGGTATATAGTGAGGCAGCTCTAATTTTGTAACATGGACCAGCTCCAAGGAAACAGTGTACAGTTCTCAAGCTCTTCATGTCTGTGTGGGTGCTGACATTGTCACCATCACTCAGGCTCAAGGGAGACAAATGAAAACGTGTCTTCACAGGGAGTCTACCTAGTGCCGGGAATCATCCCGGTGGATTTTTGTCTCTCTCAAATGGATTGACCTCACCCTGACAAACTGGCTCTCCCAGCACTAGCAAAACCAGTCTCCATAAATCAGCAGTGACGGTAACTTAACATTTCTTACACGTACCGTCCTATTTCAAACCTCGGGGTCCCCACCAGCTCTTTAAATAGCTCCCTGCTGGCTTTTGCGGCAGCTCAGCCAGCTGCCCACCCACCCGCTTACGGTCACCTCTGCCAGAAATGAAGCCACAGTGACCCTGAGCCGATTGCTTTAAAAATGCAACCTGCAGAATAATAAAGAGG